TACGCTTCCTTCCATCTGGCTGAAGGATCCCTGACCAGCATTGATTACTCCAGCATCGTGGAGGATTGACTGTCAGCTTGCCCTGCTTCTCCCTTTCCTCTCAGGACCACCATAATGGCCTGTCAGATAGAACGTGAATGGCAAGAAAGGACCTGGACGCTATAAAGGCTGTCAATTCTGTCTAACCTCTGATCCCCGCCCATATGCTATGTGAGATCCCTACCAATCTGATCCCTGTTTGCCTTGAATGTCTAAACCCTAAAACCTAACCCTCAGCTATAGTTTTGAAGAGACTCCTAATTCATAAACCCTAAACCCTAGCTAATCTTGTGTGTCCTTTCCTAACTATGAAGGCTCTACTTCAGGACCACCGCTGCTGCTCTCCTACTCATGCTTTTAAATAGCCACACTTAAGCCCCAAACCCCGTCTCACTTCTTTGAAATTGAACCCTAAACCCCTATTTTTTAATCTCTATCCTCCTGCTCCCTGTTTATCTTGTTTCTGTACCTACCCTGCCCCTAAACCCTAGACCGCCTAAATCTATTTTTCCATCTATTCCCTGTGAAGATTCTGCTGTCGCCTGCCATAAGTGCTTCTCGGATGTTCATCTAGGCCCAGATTGGAAAAGGATCTTCGTGTACCTGAGTGTTCATCCGGCCGAAAGACTTGACAGAGTTGTGCCACTCTTTCCATCTTAAAGCGTGCCCATTTGTCATCAACCAACCATACCCGTCTGAATTTGGCAAGAGTTTCCATTTTGTGACGCAAAGTCAAAAGAACTTCGACAAGGACATGCATGCAGCCTGCAAGAAAAAAGTCAGGGAACGGTTGTGCATTAAGTTCAGCATAATGAAAACCGTTCACTTCATCCCTTGTGTGATGTCTACGACCTGCATTTCTTTTCATCCAACAAATGACCAATCGCTCTTGCTTTAAGTATGCTTTGACCAAATGCCCTACTGGATGTTCTTCCTCACCGTTTCACTGTTTCCTTTTTGCTGTCCTATTTTTTTTTGTTTCCTCCTCTTGCAGGAAAACAACTTGTTCCCATATGATGTCTCTTCGACGGAACCATATCAGAGGGATAATCTTATGCATTTCCTGTGGTGAGTGAGAGAAGATTGCTTTCCCACCTGTGAATTATGTCTTTTTCTTTTGTTTTCTTTCAGTGATGCAGGCAGCAAAATGAACTATAGCCCTAGGGGGCCATAGCTACAGATTCAAAGATCAGCAACATGAAACGTATCCGATGGTCCAACATAAAAAACCAACTTAGCTACACAGTGACACAGTCAGTATTGTGACTGCTCCAGAACTGTATTTTGGTAGTCTTTACATGCCTGCTTCGGCAAGCCCTTACATGGCATCCCACTGGCTGAGGGAAGTGCTGTCTGATAGAGCTTGAAAAGGGTTTGAGTAGGCCCCAGAGCATCCTGATCCGACCTACGGCTGTGCTTTGCCTAATAGACCTTGGTATATTGAAGGCCTTTGCCAGGTATTGCATGATCTTGGGGAAGTGCTTTTCATTCGAGTCACAGTTCATCGAAGAGAACCCAAACAGAGCAAAAGGTTGTAGTTTGGCAGGTTGTGGATAGCCTTTTTGCCAGGCCTTCACCAAGGAGGACACAACTATCTTGGCCCTTATGGACCCGGACCTTGCCCATCACGACCATCTCAGATTTCATATTGACCAACTGGGTGTATTCTTCATGGACCTGGAACTTGTTCTCCTACCTCTTCAGCTACTCATTGTTCTTGGTCTGTTCTCATCCAGTTTTCCGAACTTGAAGAAGCCCAGCATTGTTATTTATTGTTGCTACCTCCCTCAGTCAGGATCGAGTAACTTGCTCAGCATTGTTATTTATCAGCTACCAACGGGCTTAGCTCAGTTGGTACACCCATGAACTGTTGAAATACAGCTGCAAGTTCGAATCCACGTACTATCAGATGAACAGACTAAAGCCATTCTGAATTATTCTGGGGCACGTCAGTTCAATGACGATATATCAAGGCTGTCACCCTTTTTCAGGAAAAAAAGGAGTAACTTGCATGCCTGCTGCCTTCCTTGGATATGGTAACCATCTCTCTGGCTCCCTCTCAGGAGTTGAACCCTGATTGTTTTCCCTGATTGTTTTCCTCTCAATCCTTTGCCCTTTATGACTACGGTCAGCTGTATCCAAACTGAGGCCAGAAGGTATGCCTTCGAACCACTGAGCGATGCTTGCTGCCCTTTACAAATGAAGGGAATAGATTCTAGCAAGTTGAATGAGACATAACTGGTTGGAAGGCGATGTGATCCAAACTTCAGTCCGAATAAGCACAACACCAGCCAGGTGCATGTAGGGGCAGACCAAGCATACCTTCTGGCCTCAGATGAACAAGGGGTAGGACCAGGATCAGTCTCCAGACTGCAAACTATCCAATCGAATGCCCTGATGGAGAGAGTGGGTGGGTTGCTGCCAAGGACAAATGTAGTGGCATCAGCAGACTTAACATTCAATGAATTGCAACCTCGTACGGTCAGCTGCAATAACAGGCAAGCTTAACGTCCCTTTGGTGCAGTGATTCTCCAAATTGTCAGAGCAGATCTCCTGCGAAGTGACTGAGACATATTTGAGGGAAAACCAACATGTAACCTGGGTATGATGAAAGCTATTGGTTTACTAACATGGTGCTGCTCACACTTGTCATTTTCACTGTTTGCACTTCCCAGGTACTGGTGCCGTTTTTGGATGGCTGGTGCTCTTGAGCTTCCATATTATGCATATCGGCGTGGAAGATTCGACTTAATGGTCCAGAGTGTGGTTGCACTCTCCATTTTCGTGTTAGTTCCAAATTTCAATCATGTATTCGACTGCTCTTCTCCTTAAAGGCTTAAACCAAAAATGCATCGGGCAAGGCTATTTCCTCCAGATGCCAAGAGGTCAGGGATAGGCTTGGGAAAAGACTCTGGAGTCTGTACATGCTCAGGCTAACAAACAGACAAAACAAACAACGCAGTAAAGTTTGGCACAGGGAGGGACAGTGAGGGACGGAGGAAGGTAGAAACACAGGGAGGCAGGGAAGGAGGTTGGCACACAGGGAGAGAGGCAGGTCAAATGGCATGGCGGGTAGGCAGGGCAAACAGGCAGATGGGCCTGGTGGGTGGGAAGCACGTATGGGCAAGATGAATGGCGTGAGCAGATGGGCCGGGTGGGTGAGGCAGGCCGGCAGGACAGGCAGGGCAAGCGAGCATGCCAGCTGGCTGGATGCAGCCAGGCAGGCAGGCGGACATGCAGACAGTTAGATAGACATTGACAGACCAGTTCAGAGACACACGCGCTGATATTTTGCTGAACCTTCTAATCTATAGATCTACCTACCTATCCATCCCTCAACTGAATACATCTATCCATCTATTTGTTTGTTTGTCTGCCTGCCTATCTCTGTCACTCTGCCTGTTCCTGTCAGTCTGTCGGTCTGTCTCTCTGTTCATCCCTTCGTCAGTCTTGAAACGGTTTTCACCTTTTTGCAGACACAGATGCGCATCCCAGGGTTCGATCCACGGACCTCACCTTACCTTACTTGCGTACAGTATGGAGTCGACCCTATGAGTCTTGAACCCGTGACCTGTGTGTTAGTAGTTGAAGTTGTCTGTCGTAGGTCTGAGTAGTTGTAGAGTCTTGAACCTTGGACCTGTCAAGTAGGGGTCACACCTGCATAGGGGTCGTAGGTATTGTAGTCCTGAAAGGTCAAGGTCGTAGCTGCTACAGGCCTGAAAGGTCAAGGTCGTAGCTGCTACAGTCCTGAAAGGCCAAGTCGGTAAACTTCCAGAAGGTCCGGAAGTTGCCTTTCAAGTTTCTTCTCACGTTCTACACAGCAGGCCAGAGGCAAGTGGGCAAGTGGTGAGTCCAACTTCGCTTAGTCAGTGGTACCCAGTCCCAGTCTCACTTTGTACAGTTATCAAGTACCATGAGGGACTGTGTGCACCATGGGCCCGGTGGAAAAGCGGCAGACCAGCGACTTACAGAAGTATAAAGCAAGAGGCAGCGTCCAGCCATTCATTCATTCGCTGCGTAAGCCATGCGGAAGCGCTGCCCCAGCGTCTTGTGCSAGGTGGTCTGCAGAGCGCCCGAAGTCGAAGTGGGCTGGAAGAAGATAGCGTAGCCATAGTAGTAGTAGCGAGCGGCCATAGCCGCCATAGATTAGAGGTAGCTGTTAGTGTGTATGTGTGCGTGATACAGAGTGAGCGCGTGTGGGGTATTCAGGGTGATCCAGAGTTGAGTTGGTGCGAATGGTGGTGTATGGAAACAGTATCGAGAGTTGGGATGTACAGGTGCTGATGCGCGCCATAGCCTGTTGAAGCGAGTTTGCGTCCAAACTGTGTTCTCAGTTTCCATATCTCTGAGTTTTGAGTGGGCGCTGCGCGCCAGTGTGAATCGCCATCTGTTTGCATGTATGAGAAGTGAAGATGAAAGCAAGTCTGATTGCAGTCTATCCAACCATCTATCAATTCATCCATCTGTCCGTCAAGTCTGTCTGTCTGCCTGCCTGTCTGCCTGTCTGTGCAACAGCTAAACACCCTTGCTTTGGGATCAGTTCCCGCGATCTGCTCTCCATATAGAGGAAATAATGACTGCCGAAACCCAAGACACCTTCTCAATGCCACTCTGTGATGGCCCACCTGAGATTCGGCTAGCATGTCATTCGCATGCCTTGTGTTGTGAGGATTATGAATGCATGGTCCATGCAACTTTTTATTTTCACATGTATGATGACAGTCAACATTGCACTCAAGTTTTTTTTTTTTTTTTTTCTGCATGAGAAAATTTTTCTGCCCCTAAGTACCAAAGTATTGAAGAAGCACTATGCTAACCCACCAATCTTCTCGAGCCTATATGCGAAGTAAAGAAACCAAATTGCATCATCCCATTGAAAGCCAGAAAGTCATCTGCTCGAACAGAAAGCAGAATGCACCAAGGGGAACTCCAAATAAGAGCAAAGCAATGAACTCAATTGACAATGTAAGCAATGTTTCCAATGTCGCTATTCTATATGGCACTCGACTCCCAGACTACGATCAGACAGCGCCTAGACTAGCCTAGCATCTAATGACGTCAACAGGTCTTCGTGAAGTGCAGCTGCCAGATGATGAATGAAGACTTCGGCTTGACCGACCTGCATCACCCAGGTACGTGCTCTCTTCCACGATTGCCCATCACCTGATCTAACCACATCGCCCTCTCCCCAAGGACTTCCACTCTACCCCCTTCTAGGACCTACGGGCAGCGGCCCAGCTATGGCCACCACTTAGCTTTGCTGCGTCCAGGTAGCTTTCCCTGCGCCCCGCCAGCGCCTCCCTGCTCACCAGCCAGCCTCTGGTTGCCGTGCGTTGAAGCAGCGTTGCCGCACACCAGCCAGCAAGCAAGAATAGCAAGTGCCTGGCTGCACTTCCTTTTGTGCAGATACAGGCTGGGCGTGGAAGCTTCAGGACTGCACGGCCTCTGTCCCAGTAGATGCACCCCTGGGCCCTTCGAGAGTGTGCCCGGGGCTCAACTGCAATGGTCCAGGGCCTCAGCATCTCTCTGGGTCCAGCATCTACAATGGATCCGGCCTACCTGTCAGTTGCAGATGCTGCGAGCAACAACCAACACACTGGAACAACCAAACCATGCAGGCCTTTTTTATGAGGCCTCAACCAATATCTGAGGCCCACCTTCACTTAGGGCGGGCGATACAAATACAACCGGGCTCAGCCCCTTTCCAGTGGGCGCAGGCCCCAATTTCAACCCGGCCAAGGGCACTATACCTTGCGCTCCCTCCCCCTCAGCTTCGAAAGTCCTCAGAGATAGCCCTCAAGGCCTCAACCCACCTGCTGCTTTCCCTTCATAATCTCTCATAACTGGAGACTGCTTGAGGAGCTGTTTTCATCAGCTCATCTCTAATGAACCATCTGTCGTCTTTAGGATTGGTATGGTGCCTGAATCTGGCCCGGAACTGCATCTGTGGTTTCGGCGGTCAACAGGCTTAGAAACAGGCATCAGCTTGTGTTCAAAGATCTCGTTGATGTCCATGTGTCCATCCATGGTTGGGGGCACCATTGACCTTCTTGAGGGAAACTGTCAGTCTGAGTGAAGAGGGAAGTTTAGAGGCATGGAAGACTGGGTAGGTGCGTAGATGCGGGGGTACATGGATCACATAGGAAGGACCATGGGGATCAGATCCCACAATGTCAAGGACTTCCCACGGTCCGAAGTACTCTGGCATTAGCTTGCTAGAGATGTCATTCTGAGATTTATGAAGCTGTTCAGTTGCCTGCTGCAGCATCTTCTCATATTCTATGCTGAATTTAATGCTGCTGGGAACAGCAGTCTACTGTCAGGCAGAAGGAAGTCTAATGGTGTCCTTAGCTTCCATCCAAGGTGCAGCTGATCCGGTTCCGAGCAGTTGTACTGTGCACAACATTATTGTACAAGCTCGTGATGAGGGGTAGCTTCTCATACTAGTCATCTTGACTTGGCTTTATGTAGTGCCTCCACAAAAAATGTTGGACTACCCGACTCCTCTGGTCGGCCTGCCTGTTAGCATTTTTTTTTCTTTTTTCTTTTTTTTTTCTCTTTTTTTTGCCTGTTAGCTTCAGGATGATTCCCATATGTCATTTGCAGCTGGGAACCCATCTGTTCTGCTGTCGTTCTGCACAGTTCATTCACGAATCTGACATCTCGGTCGCTCACTATAGACTTGGGCAGTCCGATATCTCTAATCCAATGTTCCATGGCATTTTGATCACAAGGTCTGTCTTAGCGGTCTCTTGCAGCATAGCTAACCTAGCATACTTGGAAAATTTGTCCACGATGAAGAAACTGTGCCTCTTCCCAGACTTGCTGGTCATGGGCTTGTCCATAAAGTCGTTGGACAGACTCTCTCCCGCTCCAGCAGGAATGGGCAGAGGTTTGAGAAGACCTAGAGGTTGTTGAGTGTTTTTTTTTTTTTTTTTTTTTTTTTTTTTTTTTTTTTTTTTTAAATAAACAGGTCCTTATGGCCCTGGCTCCATTTCCATTCTGGGGAGCGTCAGTCCGGTTCCTATTCCACCTGCAAGTCAGAAAAAATAATACAACATGAGCACTTCACACACACTTCCTTCCGTACGGCCGAAGGACCCCTGACCAGCATTGAGTACTCCATGTATATGGAGGATTGACTGTCAGCTTGCCCCGCTAAAACCTTTACTCTCAGGCCCACTGAAGGAGCCTGTCAGTTAGAAAACGAGAAACCAAGAAAGGCCCTTACCAGCAACGACCATTCCCACCCCTCAGCCTCCCCAAAATAAACCGCTTATTGTCTACCAACCTGCCTTAACCCTATTTACATTACTTAAAAAGTAGGCCTAGCCTCTGCTACCTTGAACCAGCTGGCTAAAACCCTTAAACCCTAAACCCTTGAGTAACTACCGGCTGGCTAACCCCTTCAACCCTAGCCCCTCCCCTATTCGTTCAAATGGTATACCTTCTCTACTAGCCATCCATTGACAGCGACCTGTAAACTGTGGTCTATAGCCACTTATGTGTCCTCACTTCCAGATCCATAACTTATACGGTACCTATCCTTCCGTCGATGAAGAATACCGTCTGTTCCGTTCTGAACCTGGGTATGTGGTAAGTCTATACTCTCGTCAGCTTGCCCTATCCTGGCCTTAGATTTCAGTCTTGCCCCACATCTTGCGTCCTCAACCTTTGGTCCTTGACCTTCGAATTTCGTTATGGATTCCTGTCTCTCTATGTATCCCTTAGGCCCTTCTGATTGCTTGTCCTGTCTGAGACAGTCTTCGCAGCGTCTGGGTCTGGG